TATCCCTTGATGGTTGGGAAATGACCTTGAAGTCCTTAATCCTCTGCACTTCCAGCATGTCCTGTGCATAAGCTTAAGGAATTCATGCAGAGCCTGAAGACCTCAGAAAGTGTCAAGTAGCAAAGAAGGGTGCCCTAGATGGATACTGTCATGATGAGTGCAGATATCTAAGTTAGTCTCAGAGGTCAACAGAGGAAATATACTTACTGTACAGGGGGATAATTAAACAATATTTGCAAGACAGAATTTATGGGTGTTAATTAATGGGTAGGTATTGGGAATAGGAAATTAGGTGGACTCTTAAAAGGACTTTGGATTTTGAATTTGCACTTCCATTTACTGAGTTTAAAATAATTGCTAGAAGGATAATTTTGGGGTTGATGATGACAAGGAACAAATGTTTTCCCATTGGGCATTCTGTGCCAGAAATGTCTGTGATACAACTGAGAGGCATGTTGGGTTGGCAAATGGAAATGTCCTAATCCTTTGCTGGACTTTTTTTTTTTTTTAGGACAAGGTGTACAGGGTGTACACAGTCTCACTGTGTAGATTGGACTCATAGTGATCCTCCTTTTTACAGCCTCCCAAGAGCTGAGCTTACAGGCCCATGCCACCACTCCCAGTCTCAATTGCCATCTCAGCATGCCCCAGGGGTGGGGCTGGCACAGCAGGCCTAGGGATCGAACTCCTTGCCTCTGTTTGCTGGACTATTTGATTTGTTGAAATCTCTCAAACAAGTTTTGCAGGAGCAAGTCTTAACTATAACAATGAATGGATATTTTGCTCCCTGCTAGGAGAGCACATTTAGTCTAGTGGCTTAAGTGATGGCTTTTAAAGTAGTTCTGTGTCTCTTTCTACTTGCTGTTCACTTATTAGTTGTTTTGAACCTGTTAGTGAATTTTATTACAGATTGTCTCCTTTGAAGGAAGGGCATAATAAATAACCTTTTGAGTTATTGCATAGCTACTGAAAACATTTTAAAATTGGCCTTGAGTTATTACATAGCCTAGTTGCCCACTGGTATTACTTTGCTTCAGCTTATTTTTAAAGCATACAGCATTTCAATAATACTATTGTTACTGAATTCAGTGCTAAAGTGAATATGCTTGTTTTTAAAATGAAAATTTTAGGTAGCATAAGCTTATATTTGCCAGCTGAAATAAACCAGATATTATCTAATTGTAGTATGCAATATATTTTTTATCCCCATAGGCATATATATATTTTCATTGGAGACATGCATCCTGGTTTTGCTCTACTTCAGAATGCATTTTTCAATAGATGTTGAAACCACTTACATTTTAATTTTCTGAAGTGGTTTCTTTGATGGATATTTTATTATAGGAAGGAGTGGAGGACATCCAAGTCAATGGGGCCAGAGGCAAAGATACAAAACAGGTAAAGTCTGGCTTCAGTTTCCTCTTTCAAAGTGACCTTCCTCCTTCCTCTAGACCTTTCCGTATCCCTGTGCTTACTGCCAAAAAGCCCAAATGTTGTCTGTCAGTTTCCATCTGATAAGAGTTATTTGTAACTCTCTATAATCTTTAAGGCCTGTGAGTTTGAGTGTGTGGTTCACTTCAGCCTACTTGCTTGTACAGTACTGTACAATACACATGAGGCTCTCATGTACTTAGTGAAAGTGGGAGAAATAGCAAAACTTGGTCAGAATGAGACTCAGTGTCATGGACTTACTTATTGTTCCTTAGTGGTTGAGGCTGGGCTGACAGTTATCACAGAGTTCAGCTCCAAAAGAAGATAAGGAAAGAGGAAGTAGCCCAAGACATACTGGGAACTTCCTGGGGGCCAGACCCCATGCTATGTAGTCTACATGGTTGTATAGGTGATCTCATTTAATGTAATATGTATTTTCTTAAAAATGTGCTTGAAAATATCACTTCTAGAGAGATGTAAAAAGTTTCCTCCATATAATTCCTGTTTCTTTGGGGTTCCCTGCTGCACCTTAGAAGAGTTTCCCTATCTATCCTTTTTTTTTTTTTTT